ACAACAACATCTTTAAATGTGCCTATATTCTATATTTTTAAAATTCATATCTGCTAACCATATATGCAACTATATGTTGTTTTTAAGTGCTGTCAACTCAGTTCCAACTCATAGTGACCCAGTATAGTGTTTTCAAGGAGTGGCTGGTAAGTTTGAACAACCGGCTTTGTAGTACAAAACGACCTTGCAGTCCTGTGCTTATCCTATAGCATCACACTATGACTCCATATTTAATTGTACTTAACTCCATACGTAACTATAAAGTTTTGCTTGCATGGGAAATGACATAGTATTTTTTTACAATGTATTTAACTCTTAACACTTGATTCTCTGTGAAGAAACATATAGACTATCTTGTGGTTTTGCCATTTATCACCTGCTGTTTAAATATACTTGACTTTCTAGCATTATGCTTTATCAGCTCTTTTGTTATATTTACCTTGTCATCATATTTCTCTATTTTCTTCCAAAAGTGATTTAAGAATTTTTTTTTCTTAAGAAGATGAACGTTAGGGAAATATTTATATGTAGTCAAATCAGCAATCATATTAACTACAATAAATGCATAACCAATTAGATCGACCATTCACATGTTCAACTTGGCATCAAAACTGACTTGAAAAGCTAGGCTGATTATGCTACAGTCTACTCATAGAAAGAAGTTCTGAATTTCCAAGTACAGTTACAAGGATTTTTTTTCCTTCGTTGTTTCTTTTCCAAAATATCTTGACTATTTTACATTCCTGGAGGGGCATTTCAAACAGATTTTCTCCTCCACAGATTTGGATTTGTCCTTAAATCCAAGTGGGGAAGTAACTAAGCAGATCGGTGATGCCTTGCCTGTATCCTGTACAATATCTGCTAGTAGGAATGCAACTGTGGTGTGGATGAAAGTAAGTAATATTTCTTGGTAATATCTAACTGTTGAAACTATTTTATGGGTTATTTTTCATCTTACATCCAAAATGTATATTCATGGATAATATCATAATCATATCTAAATGCACTCATACTCTCTGTCTTTCATCTGTCTGACTCATGACCCCTATGCTACCAGAGCTACTTAGTACAACTTTAGAGGTACTCTATAACAATGTGATGTCTTTGAATGATGCTCTGATACTAATCTGGGGCATTACATTAATTATGTATATATAATAATTAATTTTTATACACACATGTATAGTTCTATACTTTAGAGCTTAACAATTTACATTGTGTTTTAAATTATATAATTCTCACTTATGACTACAGTAACCTTTGAAATAATACAAAGAATTGCTTTTTCCTGTGTTACTCCTTAAGAAATTGAGGCAAAAGAAATCAGGAAGTTAATAGTGACAGAATAGAGACTAGAGCTCTGGCTTTACTGAGTTTAAATGTTATGCTCCAGTCAAACACTTTCTGCTTCTATGCTACCAAAACTAATCGTAGATATCCAAATGCAGGATTTCCACTCGATTAGGTGCACCTTGGAAACAGGACCCTTTTTCTTACAGGCTTGTAGCACAATACCTGGAACATACTAGAGTTTTATTCAGTATTTCCTGAGTGAGGGCTTCTGTAATTGTCTGAATTACAGACAATTGTATGTAATTGTCTGAAATGTAATTGTCATTACCTGGAGAAATATGGCTATTTCTTTATAGTGATAAAGGAAAACTGGTAATTAATAATATGAGATAATGTTATCACTAAAGGAAAAGGTTATGACTATGGTCGCTAAGAGTTGGAACCAACTCACCGACACTTAACACCCACACATGGTCGTCCCTCACAGTCATTTGAAATGAGGATTGAAAATACCTTTATAAATGGTTTTAAAGAAATTTATTGCAAGAGTTTCTTATTAATGAAGATACAAATTATTGTATAATAATTTACTATCAGCTTTTGAGTCTTTTTAATAATAGTTACTCTGTTAATTGCTTTCATTTTCTTAAAACTCAGTTTATTTCATTCTCTTTTACCACACTCTCATTGTCCCAGCCCAACTTCTTGTTCATTCTGATCATCAAATTGTTACTTTGTTTAGCATAATATATGCTTGGTAGTTATTGGTCAAAGGGCTAGACAACTTCTAGGCAACAAATTAATAATGATGTGAACACATAAAAAGAATATGTTTTATTATAGTTCTAGAGAAACTATGTTTACATTTGCTAGATCAGTTTCTACATCACCTATGCTGTTGTGAAGTGTTCCAGTTTGTTCTAATTCATAGCGACCTTATGTAGGGCTTCCAAGGAATGACTGGGGAGTTTGAACCATTAACCTTGCTGTTAGCAGTCCAGTGCTGATTCTACAGTGCCATACCAGGACTCCACATTGCTTATAGTCACCATTTTTAATTGAACACCTGATGTCAGTAGTGAATTCTCTTGGGTTGGCATAAAAAATGGCTAATGTGCTTGGTTGCTAACCTAGAGACTGAAAGCTGAAGCCCACCCAAAGATACCTGGGAAGAAAGCCCAGATGTTCTACTTCCAGAAAATCAGCAATTGAATGTCTTATTAAGCACTATTCTACTCTGACACACAAGGAGTTGCCATGAGTCAGAAACAACTCAATGGCAGCTGATTTATTTTAATGTCATCAGTTCTTTTCTGAATATTCTAACAATATTGCTTGGTTAGTTGATGAAGGATGGGAAACAATCATAGTGAACAAAGATCACAGAATTTTAGGATTGTATTTAGTTGTCTGATTAGGAATACTTTAAATCTAGGTTAATTAGGATTATTTTCTGTATATCAGTAGGTATTAAATTAAGCACATTCCTGTTGTCAATAGGTGTTAGGCTATTATCCTATTATTAAAAACCTTTTAGAAAACCTTTCTGGACATAATTGTCATGATTCACTAATGGATCCCTTATCTTGATAACAATATTACATAGAATAACTTTTCAGATATTTAGACTTCTTTCAGATATTTAAAGTTATCTTTAATTGCATACCATAAGTATTCCATGTAATTGTAGACCATTGACATTAACTACAATGAGGAGTTAGTGTTATTGGAAACTTCCTTTAAGCACATTATTTTTCTAATCAAGTCTACATAACAATTCTACATGGTAAAATTATCACCATAATTTACAAATAAGGAAATCTAGTCTCAGAATTTCTCCAAATTATAAAGGAAAACTTTAAAATAAAACTCTGATATGTCTGACTTCAAAATGATGTAGGAAAAAGAAAATCTATTTTTTAAAGCATCTAAAGTTAAGAAAAACGTCTTACATTTTCTAATGAAGGATATTTTTAGGTGTAAGTATTAACTAATAAATACATGGAAAGTTATAATTGTGCTGTGTAATGTAATTCATTTTTCATTTAATTAGGATAACATAAGACTTCGATCTAGCCCATCATTTTCTAGTCTTCGATATCAGGATGCTGGTAACTATGTCTGTGAAACTGCTCTTCAAGAGGTTGAAGGACTAAAGAAAAGACAGTCATTGACTCTCATCGTAGAAGGTAATAAAATCGTTGGACAGCAATTCAGCTTGTTCTTTAAAAGTTCAGTTTTTCATTTTTTGATTTCTCTTGTTTTATTTTTATTATTATTATCTCAATTCAACACTGTGTTTTAATTGCAATGATATTTTAGGAAAACCTCAAATCAAAATGACAAAGAAAACTGATCCCAGTGGACTGTCAAAAACAATAACCTGCCATGTTGAAGGTTTTCCAAAGCCAGCTATTCAGTGGACAATTACTGGCAGTGGAAGCGTCATAAACCAAGCAAGTATTTGTCTTCTTGTTACACACTGCACATGATCCAAGATGAGGTTTTATTTAGTACCTGAGTACTGGTGTGGCACTGTGGGCTGATGCTTCAGACTGCAAAGCAGTTTGAACTGCAAGGTCAGTGGTTCAAGCTCACCAGCTGCTCCTTGGAAACACTATTCAGGGTCGCTGTGGGTCAGAATCAACTCGACAGCACTTAACAACAACAACAAACCTAGGTTTGCTTGTTATCATCATGCAATTCTCAGAATAGTCTCAGAGGAAGCTTTTGCTAATGTCTTAATCTTCCCCAAAAGTATGACTCAGAAAATTTAAATCCCAGACTCACTATGTTTTGTCTGTATCCATTTTTAAAAGAATGTAAATTGGGTGTTATTCCCTGCTAATTGATTTTTGAAACGTGGGTGATTAAAGCTTTAAGGCATACACTTTTCTGCATCGTAAACTTATACATCTGAGTATAAGTAACCTTCATTACTTTTCTTACTTAAATTACTTAAGCATGCTGAAAGATAACTCTTAAAACTGGGCCTTGAAGTACATGAACACAATCACTGATAGTGAACATATAGTCTGATTTGTCACTTATGTGGGCTAGGATCAAAATGCCCATTGCCATAGAGTCATTTCTGACTAACAGAGATCTCATATAGTGTTTGTTGTTGTAGTAGTTAAGTGCTGTCGAGTGTTCCGACTCATAGCGACCCTGTAGATAGGGTTTCTGAGACTTTCTGTTATTGCGGGAGCAGAAAGCCTCGTCTTGCTCCCATGGAGAGACTGGCAGGCTCAAACTGCGGACCTTGTGGATATCCGTCCATTGCATAATCTATGTAGTCACCAGGCTCCCCTGCATACTGTCTATAAAGCTGTAAATTTTTATGGGGGTAGGATGCCTCATCTGTCTCCTGCAGGATCAAAATAATACTAACTAAGTAAAGATACTTGTGTAGCATCTATAACCTTTTGAACAAAAGAGGACATTAAACCAAACCTTAATATTTGTAAATTTGACAAGACATTTTAGTGTAATACTCAAATGGGCTAAGAAAGTATGACCTGTACCAGTAACTTTCCATAACTACTAAGTCTTTAACCAAAAAGAATAAGAATCTGGTTTATCATCAGGTGTTCAGAGCTATAATCCAACTAAATTACACACACACACACACACACACACACACACACACACACATATATTACTTATTTTATGTAGTTATTAAGTGCTGTCAAGTCAGTTCTAACTCATATTGACTGGTATAGGTTTTCTGAGGAGTGACTGGTGGATTTGAACCACCAGCTTTGTGTTTAGCAGTCCAGTGCCGAATCAACAAATATATATGTATGTGAATGATATATATAGATCTATAGATATGCCATTCTCACACACAGACATATATATGTATATAGATATCATTCAGTATCATTCACATATGTATGTGCATATATTATATGTGTTGTTAATAAGTGCCAGAGTTGGTTCTACTGATAGCTACCCTGTATAACATTTCTGAGGGGCACTTGGTGGGTTTGAATCATTAACCTTGTGGTTCACAGTCCAATGTTTATCCTACAGTGTCATACCCCAGGAGTCCATATATACATACATGGATTCCGAGGGTGTGGCACTGTACAATCAACTGAAAACCACAAGTTTGGAAGTTCAAACTTACCAGTTGCTCCTTAGAAACCCTATATAGGGTCACTATGAGTCAGAACTGACTTGACTGGCACTTAACAACACACACACACACACACATATATATATATATATGTGTGTGTGTGTGTGTACATGGATCCAGGTATGAAAAGCCACCCAAGGATTAGATAAAATGGAAGAAAATTACTTCTAATTTTATTATATGTGATGGAAATACACATGTAAAAGAAGGGCAAAGAAGCTCTGGTTTCTTCAACACTGAGGAAATGCAATTTTCTTGACTGAAAATTGAAATTGGAGCCAACTGAATTGCTGACAATATATAGATCTATTTTTTAACATCAAAAATTATTTACTGTTTTCTGCTCTACTGTTTTTGCTCTTTAGTTCAATTAATAAATACACTAAAAACATGACCTTTAGTTTGTGGTAATGCCAGCATAGAAAATAGAAAAATAAGCACACTATAAATATTTGATGAATGAGCGAGTACCAAGATTTACAAGACCCTCCCAAAATGTAAATAGATATATTTTTGTGGACTTAAAGTAACAAAAGCAAAGATTCAATGAAAAAGCCATATGAAAAATTCTGTTGGGAAATGGAAAAATAGCAGGTGAATTTAGTATGAGAATAAAAATAATAATGCCATTCTTCACTGTCAAGGAAAAAGATTGATTTTCCCCCACTAGGTGTTATATTATTTTTCTTGTTCTATGTTTCTACCGATCCATCTGTAATTTTTATGTGTTCTCTCCTCAATCATATGGTAAATATATTATTTGATATCTGTTACATATCATCCTCACACATCCCAGAAAAGAGAAGTTATCCCAAGGCATGGCACTAGTTCTTGTCCTCAAGGTGCTTACAATGTAGTTGAGGCCAAAATATATAGAGAAAAATATAGGGCATGCTGGGTATGATATTATTGAGAAAAGAGCTCAAATACATATCTGCTTAAGTGGTAATGAGTTTATGAGTCAAGTTGGTCTGGGGAAAAGATTAAACTGTAATGTCTCTTAAATTGGAAGAATATAAATTCAATGATCTCAGTCATCTATACCTTGAAAAAAAATTCAAATCAAAGAGTCATTCAATGAAAGAGAAGCAGTATTCCACCTTTAGTTCAGTAATATTTGGAGTCATGGTTTGGTTAACACATTTGCAAACCATACATATATTCACTTAGATATAATATGATCAAGTACATTGTGTGAAAAGATGCAATATCATCAGTCAGAACAAGGCCATCAATTACTCATATGCAAGTTCATCAATTACTTTACATCCTGTGGGGTAGTGAATTCTATAATATGTATCTTCTAGTCTTGGTGTTTGTAAGTTCCACCAAATTACTCATATTACCATCAATTACTCATATGCAAGTTCAGGTTAAAACTGAAGAAAATTCTAACAAATCCAAGGGAACCAAAGTACAAACTTTAGTATATCCTACCTGAATTTAGAGACCATCTCAAGGAAAAATTTGACACACTGAACACTAATGACCAAATACCAAATGAGCTGTTGGATGACATCAGGACATCATGTCTAAAGAGAATAAAATCTCATTAAAAAATAGAAAAGAAAGAAAGATCAAAATGGATGTCAAAAGAGACTCTGAACTTTATTCTTGAATTTTTTCCATTGCTAAAACAAATGGAAGAATTATTGAAGTAAAATAGCTGAACAGAAGATGTGAAAGGGTAGCTCAAGAAGTCAAAATAAAGTATTATAATGATTTTTTCAAAGACTTGGAGTTAGAAAACCAAAAAGGAGGAACATGCTGCTGGCCTTCCTCAAGCTGAAAAAAACTAAAGAGAAAAATTCAAACATCAAGTTTCAGTGTTAAAGGATTCTTTGGGTAAGACATTGAATGATGCAGGAAGCATAAAGGGAAGATGGAAGGAGTACACAGAACCAGTGTACCAAAAAGAATTGGTTGATATTCAAACATTTCAGAAGGTGATATATGATCAAGAACTGATGGTACAAAAGGAAGAAGTCAGAAGTCCAGGCTGCCCTGAAGGCATCAGCAAAAAACAAATCTCCAGGTATTGATGGAAAATCAATTGAAATGTTTCAGCAAATGGATGTGCAAAAATGACACAAACCATCTCTCCTACAGTACTGTCTACTCAGCTTGCTTCCATTATTTAACGGAATTTCCACACAGAACTCAGATACATAGTTAGGGGATATATTAGGGAAGTGAACAGGTTACAATTCAAGATTGAAAATGTTCAGGGCACAGCCAGTCAGGACAGTCTTTCCTCAGCCATGCTGGAAAGTAGGCCTTTCTCTAGCCCTTGACCTGGCCTCTGCCTAGTCCAGCAATCTTACAAAGCTCTTTCACCACTGCTGATAAACACTCAAAGGACACTCCACTGTAAGCCTCAGTCTGAAGGGGCTCAACCCTCGCTCCATGAGTCAGCAAACTAGCACCCCAATTTAGTGCCTGGATACAAAACACTCTGCAAACAAGCCTCCTGCCCAGACACTCAGCTTTACTTGCCAGAAAGTTCACTGCTCTGTCTTGTGCTCTGGCTCTTGGTTCTGCTGCTCTTGCTCCTCTGATGTCCCTCAACAGCTTCTCTGATATCAGAACATTCTTTCTCTGGACTTGTGGAGATTCAATTCACAGGATCTCAGGCTTCAAAAAATTTATTCTACTCCTGGCTTTTCCATGTTGTAGTGAGACTCACTCCTCCTCCTCCCGGGATGTCTCATTTTATACTCACGTGTTTACAATCACAACTAACTTGGTTAAAAAGCATTCACAACTTCCCTTGTCCAGACCCACCAGGAAAAGACTGGTTTGGTGGAACTTAAAAACACTAAGACTAGAAGATACATATTATAGAATTCACTACCCCACAGGATGTAAAGTTGGAGGCACTTACTCATTTATTCAGCTACCTGACAAACTGACTGAAAGGAATCCGTATCTGTGTCCATTCCAAAGAAAGGCAACCCAGCAGAATGTGGGAATTATCAAACAATGTCATTATTATCACATCCAGGTAGAAGTTTGCTGAAGATCATTTTTAAATGATCTTCAGCAAGATTTAAAGTGGAACATTGACAGGGAACTGCCAGAAATTCAAATCAAATTCAGAAAAGGACATAAAATGAGGGGTTATAATTGCTGATGTTAGATGTATCTTGGTGGAAGCAAGTGATACCTGAATATCATTGGTGATGCAAAATATAGTTAACCTATATTTCATTGGTGATGCAAAGGTACTTGGCTATGTGAATAATAAGAAATTATGGATGAGGGGAATTCCAGAACACTTAATTGTGTTTATGAGGATCTATACATAGACTACGAGGCAGTTGTTCAAATAGAACAAGGGTATACTGTACTTCTAAATCAGGAAATTATGCATCAGGGTTGTGTCTTCATCATACTCATTCAATCTATATCATGAGCAAAGAGCCCAAGAAGCTGAACTATATGAAGAAGAACATGGCGTCAGGATTAGAGAAAGACCCATTAACAATCTAGATATGCAGATGAAAAACTCTGCTGAAAGACAAGAGGACTTAAAATATTTATTAATGAAGATCAAAAACTAAAGTTTTCAGTACTGATTATGTCTCTACACGAAGAAAACGAACATTTTCACAAAAACTGGACCAAGAAGCAACATCATGATAAATGGAGAAAAGACTCAAGCTGTGAAGAATTTTGCATTACTTGAATCCACGATCAATGCCCATAGATGCACTACTGTTATGTGCCTTTGAGTGGGTTCTGGCTTATAGTGATCCTGTGTAGAGTTTCTGATGCTGTAAATCTTTATGGTAACAGAAAGCTTCATCTTTCCCCTGTGGACCAGCTAGTGAATTCAAACTGTTGACCTTGTGGTTAGCAGCCCAATTCATAACCCAGCATGTCACCAGAGCTTGTTGTTAAGCACCATCAAGTCATTCTGACTCACAGCAACTCTATATTAAGTTTCCGAGGACCAGTTGGTAAGTTTGAACTACCAACCTTGCAATTCAAACTGACTTTGCCGTCCCATGCTTATCCTACAGCACCACATAAATCAAACAGGACCTTGCCTTGTAAATATCTGCTGCAAAATATGTCTTTAAAGTGTTATAAAGCAAAGATGCCACTCTGTAGAGTAAGGTATACCTGACCCAAGACATAATATTTTCAGTCACTTCTTTTGTATATAAAAGTGGGACAATACATAAGGAAGACCAAAGAGGAATTGATTAATTTGAATTAGGGTGTTGGCAAAGAATACCAAATGCACCAGACACTGCCAGGAAAATAAACAAATCTAACTTTGAAGAAGTGTAGTACGAATGCTTCTTAAAAGAGAGGATGACAAGACATCATCTCATGCACTTTGGACAACTTATCAGGTGGGAACAGTGCCTGGAGGACATCATGCTTGAAAAAGTAGAGGGTCAGTGAAAAAGGGGAAGACCCTCAATGAGATGATTGATATAGTGCCTGCAACAAGGGGATCTAACATAGCAGTGATTGTGAGGATGGCACAGAACGAGACACTGTTAACGTTTTGCTGAAACACTGAAGCAAAATGAAATTTTGTTGTAACAGAGCAGACTTGACAGCGCCTATCAACAACAAATCACACTAACATTCCTTATACATAATAGTTGAAGATATTGAAGTGAACCTCTTTAGTAGAGAACAATGAGAGAATGCACAAATAATAACTAAGTTTATTGAGGGAAAATTGATGGTTAGAATTATTCATTAATCACTTTGAGACAAGTATCATCATGCCAAAATATTGACTAAACATGAGCATCTGTTGAAAAAGAGGAACTTAATTAAGAATAAATTGTTAGAACTTACAATAAAATATAAATAGATTTATACTTGATTATGAATTTACTATCTTTCTCGTTTCTGCTGTAGATGTAAACCTGAACTTGGTCACTACTGATGATCATACATATTCAGACACCAGAGAGCACCACAGAGAACCATGCCTATCTGATTGTATTACTCTTTCCCATACTTTGAAATCCATTTCCATTTCTAAATCTGTCTTCCTTCTTTTTGCAGACAGAGGAATCTCCTTATGTTAATGGCAGGTATTCTAGTAAAATTATCATTTCCCCTGAAGAGAATGTTACATTAACTTGCACAGCAGAAAACCAGCTGGAGAAAACAGTAAACTCCTTGAATGTCTCTGCTAGTGAGTATTTTATTTCTGGCATTTTTAAAAAAAGTAAGAAAATTTGAAGTTATCCTTCATTAGTTTAAAATCTTCAGTTCCATCTTCCTGTTCTGCATTATGGTAAGTTTTATTTATTTATTTTGCATTTCGTATCATCATCATAAGGTGCCCTCCACTCCAGTGTTCATTCTTGCACTATCCTTGTCTTGAAAGTTAAATCATTTCATATTCTGTGAGTCAGAGACATTATCCTACTCAGGAATATTTTCCAGCAGCAACAGAGAAGAGCTGGATTGTTATATAGATATAGATATATATATGTACATATACATATATATTACATTTTGTGTTCAGAGTAGAGATAATTCAAATATTCTAACAACATTTTCAATTGTTTTAAATTTAGTAAATTTTAATTCCCTTCTACATTATTAGTTTGTATTTAATTTTGTGTAATAATTATCCTTCCCTTATTTTATATAGGAATGCCACATTGTATATTGGATAGTAAATTGGATGCATTTAACAGATTGCTAGCAAAGCTAATATAGTTTGTGAAATTGTTCTTTTTTGTCATGGTCATATTTAAGCCATAGCCAAAAATTGGATAAAGAAAATTACCTCAGAGAAATTGAAAAACATTTTAGAGATGAAAGCAGAGTGATAAATACATACATACATACCAACAGCAACTTCTTCTGAAAGCAATTGTAATTAAATGTTAAGTTATCCATCATTTTTACCTGCAGTACTGTCCCTACTGCCCTGCTAACCTTAAATCAGGACTGACCTAGAATAAAGGTTCATTCTGGGCAAAATGCTAACTGACCTCCACACTTTTATCCTTTAGTGTAGTTGGAATCGTGTATGTTGTGTCAGCAGCCTAGGGGCCCATAGGCTAGGAATTAGAAGGCGCTCAGAGAAGATAATTGTCTATAGATAATGGTCCTAAACAGATTATGACAAATATAAAAGCCTGATGAATTGACAGTAGAAAAGAATAAAGCAAATTTAACTCTAAAATATGAGCATTGACTTCTCAGAATTTAATTCAGCTAGTATTGATTTGTCTTACCTACAAAGGAAACCTGTACTTTCTTCCTGAACATGTCTTTCTTTTTGTTCTAGCCCACTGAATAGTGTTTTTCCATTTTCTAGACATTGCAGTTGTTTACTCAACATTTAATACAGTCGTTTTCAATTAATTGAGCACCTAAATTTGTATCAGTGGATGGAGGCAGATCAGGGAATATGCATTTTAATAAATATCACAGAAAGTTCTGTAAGGACTCATGGACCACATTTTTGGGTATATTTATGTAGTTTAATGTCAGATGACAATTCACAGCAGCAGTAATTATTAAAATGAGCCAAAGATATGGGCTATCAGAGTCATTTGAAGATCTTTTACGAATATCTTGCTTCTTAACCTATCTCCACCACTTTGAGAACTCTAGATTTAAGTTTTAGGCAAGAAGAAAAAACATGTTTTTGAATGTTGGCATTGTAGATTTTCATATATGGTAACAGGTTCCTCTTAAATATAAAGTACTATAAAAGGTAGTATATAGTGGAGAAATCAACATTGATTTCATATTAATATTATACTTTGTCATTTGTGAATTTTTTTTATAGTAAATTAATGCCTTTGCAGTTTTATCAATTTTCCTTTTTTAAAAACAAGATTAATGTCTTCACAGGGATGTTCATGCTCTATTAAGTATGATTCTTTTTTTACCCTTAGTTGAAGAATAGATATTTTATGTTTGATTATTATTATATCATACTATAATGGTAAAGGTTACTTTCATATATCAACAAATCTTGTTTTTAATTTCATATTAACATTTTTCATTTCAGTAAGTATTCCAGAACACGATGAGACAGACGAGATAAGTGGTAGGTACTATGCTGCCAACTCTTCTTCCTTGTCTATCAGCTCAAGACTTATGAATTATTATTGTACCAGTTATTACCTAAGCTCTCCACTAAATTTGACTTGAATTAAAAGAGCAAATAAGACAAGGTAGTAAGAATGCTCGAACTTTAACCTTTAAAATCACAAGTAAAGTCTGCATAGAAATCGTAGAACAAGTTTTAGTCATGCTTCATAAGTAGTCACTAGATTGCATTCTTTAAAACACAATTCATGGCATTGTCTGTAATTGCACGGACTGTTCTTCTTTGTTGTAGATGAAAACAGAGAAAAGGTGAATGACCAGGCCAAGCTAATTGTGGGCATCGTCGTTGGTCTCCTCCTCGCTGCCCTTGTTGCTGGTGTCGTCTATTGGTTGTATATGAAGAAATCAAAGTAAGCTATGGGCGAAAAAATCTTCACTGTTCATTGTTTTCACTGGGAGAAAATGAAATGTGTTTATTCCTCTCACTCCAACTCTGCATGTGATGTCTACTATAAGAAAGAGATCTCCCCAGCTCAGGCTGATAAGCTTTGCTCTCATCTCACAGTGACCCCTTTGCCCACATCAGGGACATGACTGGGGTATGATTTCACATGTGCCTATTTGCTTTTCTCAGTCTTAATCTAAATGGAAATGCTGGTGTGGCGCTGTAGGATCACCACTGGACTGCTAACCACAAGGTCAGCACTTCAAACCCACCAGTCACTCCTCAGAAACCCTATACAGACACACTGTGAGTTGGAACCAACACAATGGCACTTAACAACAACCATCTGAATAGGGACAGACAGCCTTGTATGTTTCCAATGCAGCAGATGGTGGGTGTGAACACTTAATCCACTACACCACCAGGGCCCCTTAGTCTGAATTTAATTATTTTGATTTTGACTGCCAGGCTGAATTTTTTAAAACTACGTAGTACCTAAAGATCAATCATTGATGGCTTGGCTAAGGCTGATGGAGATTAAATAAAATAGTAGTTCGGTCACCCTACAGGGATTTCCAGGTGTCTTTGCAGTGACAGGTTTTTCTAACATAGAAGTAACTAGTGAGGGATGGGGAGCATGTTGTCACTGTTTGCCTAGTATATTTATTCCCTGTTCTAGTTTGTTCCATGCTGTGGTTAAGTGCCATTGAGTCAAATGTGACTCAACCCTGCATGGGATTTCCAAGGAGTGGCTGGTGGATTTGAACCACCAACCTTACAGTTAGCTGTCCAGTGTTTATCCCACAGCAAGTGCCATGCCAGTTTACTCCATAAAAAGATCTAATTCAGATAACAATATATAATTATTTTGGATTTCATTAAATTCATTGATTAGTATCAAGACTACTTTAAAATTTGTTTTAAGTGGTGTTTTAGGTTCAAAAGTATTAGCACCATATAATGATGCAGATAGTTTGACTTTACAAATTATGTAACAGTGAATTTAAATGCAAATAAAATTATCCAGTGAAGACTATTAACATGTACACACATAGTTTTCTTCAGCATCTTACCTCAGTCCTAAATTCAGATGCAATTGGACAGCAATGGAGTTCTAGAATATATATTTTATAAAGAAGTTACATTGGAGATTCTGTGGCACACCCCTGATTTTACTCATGAGTTTTAAACAGGCTTCTTTTATAAACTGGAATGTTATTTTTTGCAAGACAATGTAGATGAGAAGTTGCAACTTTGGACTTGATTTTATTTACTTTTTTAATGTCTTGACATAATCCCTCTGGACAGCACAGGTAAGTTAACTTAAAATCTAAATAAGTTGCCAACTCAGATAAGGAAACACGATTTTACCCAATAAAGATGTCAGTGTCAACAGAGAAATATTGTACCAAGATAGATATTTTAAGTTGCCATCAAAGGAGTATTTTGAGTTTTATACTTCAGAGTTTTATAGTTATATAATAATATGAACATGTGTTGAGCAGTGTTTTAAGCATTTTCATGTATTCAGTCCTCACAACATATCTATAATGTATTTACTGTGATTATTCTCATTTTACATTTAGAAAACTAAGGCAAAGAATGATTCAATGATTTCCTTAAGGTTACACAGGCACCAAATTTTTATTTGATTTTAGACCGTGCTATTTGGGGATCTTTGTCCTTAATCCTTAGGCCTTATTCTCTCTTACTATGCCTTACTTCCTCTCCTTTGCCACATGAGGCAAAAATATTTCTTCTTGTGTACTGTGGCTGATGTACAGCTCTGTTCTCCCATTAGGGTTCAGCCACTCTTTTTCTTTCCACTTCACTCATGTATTAAGCAGTCCCCATCCTCACTTGTTAGCAAATGTGTTCTTTTTCACAGTGAACATTTTTATCTTAAAACCCTTCAAGTATGTTTGTGCCTGTGGTATCTATGGAAAATTTAGAAGAACCTTCCTGAATTTTGAAAAATAAACAGCAGCTCTGTATGTTATGATCAATTGCATATTAAATTCTTGAAGCACCCCCATCCTATTCTAATTGCCAGCATCTTATTCATAGAAGGACATCTATGTCCAAGAAACAGTTGTCCTTCTATGAATAGAAGAAATGTGAATATGTGTGTGTGTTTTCCAGTTACTTCATTGGTTATTACCATACGATGACCCAAAATTTAAAACAAGGATAAATAAATGCTAGATATTTGGCTTCACAGTATCCTTGGGTTATGGTTATATGCATTCCCTTTTAAGTTTCTCATTAAATTAAGTACAACTTTTACCATATGACTTGAATTTCTAAATAACTGTTATTTAATTGAAAAGTGCACCAACTTTGATAGAGTTAATATTATTAGTAATTAAAGTAATAAACTACAATTCAAATTACAAGCATCAAGCTGTTTTTATTAAGAATTTGTGGAACACTTCAAATTTTCTAAGTGCTTTCCATTCCTGATTAGTTGTTCCTTGCTAGTGCCCTAAGCCAGAATTTTAGCAATGTGAATTTGTGTTGTTAACCCCTGAAGCCACTTGTCCAGGGTGTGAGTGCATGATGATTCACAGGAACGCTTCAACGCTCAGAATTGCTGAGACAATTTTTGGATCTACTATACTCTTTTCCCTTTTTCTTTTCCAGATAATTTCTTCAACTTTAAAAGTCAGTATGAGTTTCATTTCTATTTTAGCTAAATTTTCATGATTTTACATGGATAGGAGAAATTTCTAATAAAGGTATGGCCCTGACTTTTTCCTAGATTCCTAAAGAAATATAGCCCTGTATTTACCATCTTGCAAATTAATACCAGCAGCAATTTTTAATGAGTCACACATTTCTGCAAACAAGTTGCTTACCAATTAAACTATAAGACAAACATTTCATTCAAAAACCTCAGTGATACACCTAGCTAAGCAGTGAAGCATTAACAACATTTAGGGGAAGTTCTTTGTAGTCACAATTTTCAAATCACTGTGGAGAAAAACAGTACTTTGTTACTGAATAGAATTTAAAAGTAAGTTTAAAATATTCTTGGTAGCTACTTAACTGATGTGCACTTCTTATTTTACTTACATGAGCTACATGTTTTATATCTATTTCAACCACAGAAAGGAACAACACTTGAGCTGCATTCCTGTCTCATTGTAATAAGGTTGATTCACTGCGGAGTTAGGGACTGGTGACTCCTCTGCTGCAGTGATCCACAAAGCTTCTCAATACAACTTCTTCTGAGCTAGAGGTTTTTGATGATGAGAATGAATGACTCTGATCATTTCCATGTAAGTAGGGTATTAACTGGAGTCCTGAAGTGGTGCTGTAGGATAAGAACAGGACTGCAAGGTTGGTTCGAACCACAAGGTCAGCAATTCAAACTCATCAGCCACTCCTTGGAAACCCTATACTAGGTTGCTATGAGTTGGAACCTACTCGACAATACTTAACAACAACAAAGGGTATACTAAGTGAGTGACCAAGTCAAGCAAAAGGATTAATTAATTAAGCCTGATTTTTGTCTGGTTATTTGTTGTTGTTAAGTGCCATCAAGTCGGTTTGCAACTCATAGTGACCGTATATAGGGTTTCCAAGGAGCAACTGGTAGGTTTGAACTGCTGACTTTGTGGTTCACAATTCAGTGCTGATCCTATAGCTTCACACCAGGAGTCTCTGTCTGATTATTTAACAGATCGCAAATTATTAGTGTAGCCATGTTGTGGCACTGTAGGATAAGCACTGGACTGTGAACTACACAGTGGGTGGTTCAAGCCCACCAACCACTCTTGGAAACCCTATACAGGGTCGCTAATAGTCAGAACTGACTCAGTGGCACACAACAGCAAAAAAATATTAGTGAACTAGAAATAGTACAGTTATTGGTTTTTTTTTCATTCCTTTTTACTCTGTTCAGCAAACATGTCCTTTAGCACTGCAGAAACTTGAGTATTACTGCTTGAGTTCCAAATCCTCTCCCACATATCTTAATAAAGGAATTAATGAAAATGTAGAAGAGCTAACAATAAAGAAAATGGTAAAGAAAGCATAATATAGCCATAAATTTATTCAGAAGTTTATTACAATCATAATTTCCAGGTTGGTTTCATTTATGAGCCCCCTGACATACTATACATCTTATCAATCAACCAATATTAAGCATTAACCATACACTTATGATTCAAAATATATATTGTGTGAATCTTAGAAACTTGCTGGGAGATTTATTGTTTGCAGCTTTGGACCTCATGGCAATTTTAATGAAAATTACTGTGTGGTATGGGCTCATCTAGAAATTTAAAAGCCAAAAATATCACATGTTAGTTCTACCTTATATAATGCAATTGCAGGATTATTTCAGTGTAAGGGGGATAGTCCTAAATAGTTTTAGGATTAAGCCTATTACCCTGAAACAACAAGAAACAGTGAAACATTGTAATACTGAAACATTACCTGTAATACCGAAGCAACCAGAAACAGTGCTTTATAAAGCCTCTCTAAAATACTTTTCAATTAATGTCTCTTGATATATATAGAATAGGATCTTCCAAGAAAATTGATTTTAACGGAATTCTAGTTTCTTCTAGTCAATACCCATTCTAAAATCAGGTCTATGTCCCCATGAAGGAGGGAGTTCCCCACTGAATAAATCGAAAAGATAGTGAAATTGTTCTGGAAAGCCATTAACAGAACTGTCTCAATGACTTTCCCCATTTTTCACTATAAAAGCATCTACTTTTCTCCAGATAGGGGGCTAGACACTTGCACTTTCACTAAATTCTTCAAAAATGTAATACCGCTTTAAGATGCAGTGAGATTATTAACCTGCCCAATATATCACAAATAATATTTTACTCTAAATCCTATATACAGGTATGTGTGATAGACTATACACCATGTTGGTGTTGTTAAGTGCCATTGAGTCGGTTCCGACTCTTAGCTACCCTGTATGAGATTTCCAAGGAACGGCTGGTG